TGAACCATTAATGATGACATCCAAAATGAGCAATGAGTAGCTTAAACGAACAACATCATCCTATTATTCTAATATGAATAATTTGCACCATTGAAGTATGAGGGTCTTGTAATGGATTAAGAATCTTCAATATTGTAGGAGCCAGAAATTGAAGCCATATTTATTCGGTTGATTGAATAAATCATTGAAGTATGAGGGTCTTGTAATGGATTAAGAATCTTCAATATTGTAGGAGCCAGAAATTGAAGCCATATTTATTCGGTTGATTGAATAAATTGATAGAGCTCTTATAGGATCTTCATAAGGTTGTTAAATCATCGATTGAGACCCGCTATGATACCAATTGTTAGCTCTAACAAACAACTGAAATATGCCAAGAGGGGGTGAATTGGCCTTTGAAAAATTTATTGTGGATGCAATTGGAAATTAAAACTTTGCACAATGATTTAGAGTGGTGCGACTTCTAAACCAATTATACATCTACTGCCTTAGCTATCCACACTAAGGATTTCTTAAATCCAATAGATTTTAACCTTTAAGAACAATATGTAACCTTACAAAGACACACAAGGTTTATACCCCAAAACCTTGCTTACACACTCTCCCAAAGAGAAATTACAAACTTAGCAAACAAAAGAAAACCTCACAAAAGCAAATGAGTTTGCAACTAATTAAGCACACACCCAAATTACACTTGAGCAAGAATAAACAAAGAAGCTCACAAGTGTATTTACAAATAATTTGATAATTTAGTACTAAAAACTCTTTTGATGTTAAAATGATATTACAATTGTCTTTCTTATTGTTCTACAATTGAATCTTGGTCCCTTTTATATCTTCTAACACCAATATAGCCGTTTAGAGCTGTTAGGGATTGAATAGAGTCATTGGATTCATAAATTTTAAGCATTTAATGCTCACATACACATTTGGTATCGAGACCAACAAGTCAGTATCGAGACAGAGCCTTTCAACGGTCAAATTTGTAGCCGTTGAGCCTTCAGTATCGATACTGTTTGAATCAAAATCGATACCCACCATTCGGTCTCGAGACTGAGACCTTGGTAATGATACCAAAAACCATTATGAAATATTGGTATCGAGACTACTTGAGTGGTCTCGAGACTAGTAGTTCAATTGGCTAAAAATAAGTGTTTTGAGCTTTAAAAGTAATGTTTATTAAATGTGGATTAACAAAAAAACACTTAGGATTATTTTTCACACTTAAAAATGCTTTAAAAAATGCTTTATGACAAATCATTTATAAAATCATTAATTGTAAATTTTAACAACTTAAAACATTTAAAAATGATGTTATATCAAAATCAAATATTGGTTCAACAAACTGCTTATCCAATGGCTGACGACGAATGTAATGGGTAAGAGTGTAAATTGACTAGGTTTTGGTCGGAAAGAAGAGAGGACTTCAGGGGTGTCGGTGATGAAATGAAAGGACGTCTGGTGTGGCTGAAAATTGAAAAAAAAATTGATTGAAAGCTTTTGTTTCCCGAAAAAATCTTCAACGGTTTCTCTAAGAGCAACATCGGGGAGCCTTCACAATCAACCACTAGGATTTTGGTCACGGTGGCCTGGAACTCACACTGGTACTGGCAAGACGATCACCATCCAACATCAACGGAGATCGACAATAAGTCATCCAACGGTTTCCTATGATTTTACTATAAACGATGGGCTTTCATCAACGGTGAAGGGCAAGGCTTCGATATGGAGGCGACGTCGATGCTATTGGAGGTGGTTGTGAAAGCCATTACTGGCCGAAGATGGGTTTGGCGATGAGGGCAGCAGTCACGGCTTTTAACGATTAAAAATTTATTTCTATAAGTCATGTCATAATGACGTGAAAGCTTTAACGATAAAGTGACTAAAAAAACTCAATCTATAAAGTTATATGAGTAAATTGAAAATTTTAAAAGTAAGATGAGTAAAATAAAAATAAAATGAAAATTCAATTATAAAATTTATAATTTACTCTTATTTATAAAATAAAATTTACTAATAGTCAAACATAACTTTTACTTTCTTTTATATCATGTCATTTGAACTAGCTTGGGGTCATTAAATGATAAAAGGAACAGCTTTTTGACATTTTGAAATACATAAACATTCGAGAAGAAGCTTGAGGTTGATTTTTAGACCAGATAAGAGGAAATAAGAGAGCAAAATGTCTAATTTAGGAAAATATTCTCCTGACAGAGCAAGCATTGTCAATCTTCCAAACCATTGCTTGATAGGAGAAATGGATCTCGAGGATTTCAGCGTTGGAATCTCTTCAAAACCTGATGGTAAAAGTGCTTTTTTTGCTGGCTTTCTTCCTAGGCTTTTGTATTAGTGAAATTGTTAGCTTTTATTTGGATTTTTTTGTGGTGTTGTTGGATAAGGTCAAAGATTTTTCTGGTTTTTTTTTTCTTCATGCGGGTGTTTTTAGAAAGAAAATTTCTCAGATTTGGAAAGAAGGATGATTTTATACATGTTCATGGGTTGGTTGGTTATGTTTGCAGGACAAAAAGCAAAAACAGTAAACGTTTTGGGCCACATGGCTAATTCATCATAGAGTTCGAGACCAAATGTTGGGGGCATTTATATCAGATGTAGAGGTGGGTATACGGGTTATCCGTCTGTTTAGCTCGCGGGTTTTGACTATGCGGGCTTAAACGGAGCGGTTTATAAAGCCAGCAATCATAAACGGTTTTGAATTCTAAGGCTCGCGGTCCGTCCATTTAACTTATGGGTTAAACAGACTTACCCGTGGCCCGTTAAATAAAAATAATTTTAAATGCTTTAAATACAATAAAAAATAATATTCTAACTTGTTACACCTTTAAAAATGATCTAATAGCTTGAAAAGGGAGGTAGCACCGTAAAAAAATAAATAATATTTAAATTTTATTTTAAATAGCCAGAAATAATTATAAAATAATATTTTTTTAATTTTTTAATCATTAATATATATATAACGATATAATTACTTAAAGTCAAATTAAAAAAAAATAATATTAACTTATATCACCAAATTGAAAAGCAAATACAACAATAACCACATTATATTTTTATAAAACACGATTATTCAATGTTATAATATGAAGACACAGGAGTGTTTGCAAGTAGAAATTCAAACAGAAAAATTCAACAAAGTCAAACATTATACAAATGTAACAATTTTTCTTTTGTAAAAGACTTTAAAAGTTGAAAAGTATATTTTCAATTTTTTCTTTTTCTTTTATTTATTATTTTTAATCCAAATATTACGTGTCATGTGATATATTATTATAACATTACGTGACTTTTTATAATTAAAGAACGAAATAGATAACATACTTCATGAAAAAAATAAAGGTCAAAATTAAATAAAAAAATCTTTAAATATCAAATTGATAATGATGTAAATTTTATAAGACTAAAATACTATATAATCTTTTAATTTTTATTTTTTAAAATAAAGAATAATTTGATACATTGTAAATGAAATACTATATAAATCTTTAAATTTTTAAAATGATGTAAATTTTATAAGACTAAAATACTATATAAATCTTTAAATACCAAAGACAAATGCCATAATAAATTTAGAACTACAATGGTTATAAGTAACATCATATTTATATGTAATTTATTTTTCCTTTCTATAAAATTCTTTAAGTTTATTTTCTCTAAAATTTTATAAATTTTAAATTAAGCGGGTTATTGCGGGCTACCCGCGATTATATCCATTAAACCCGCGGGTTTAACGGTTTGGGCTAAAAAGCCCACAATTTAAACAAGCTTCAGTTTTTGATGTCCAAAACTCACACGACACGGGTCGCCGGTTAAATGGGTAGCCCGCGGGCCTTAGCCCATATACCCACCTCTAATCAGATGTGAAATCTTCAGATTTCTTACTAGGCAGCTTTGGTTCCAAGGAAGACAACATTGACAGTACAGATCTCAGGTGTGTACGTGTTTTATTTTCCATTCATATTATAATATTGATCTTGCTTTCATCTCACGTTTGCGTTTGGATTTGCCTATGCATATGCCTATGGTCACGGATCACTCAATTAATCAGTTGTTGTAGATGTGCCAATTGGTTGTTAAATACCAGAGTAATTTCTGTCGTGAAATATTTTATTCATTAAAAATATTATATTACAGAGAGTTACAATCAAGCCAATCATTTGATTAATTATAACAATCGTGACATATGTCATTATCGACTGTCATCGGTCGTTGTATAGGATGGTCGATTTAAAGAAAGTTTTATATCGTTCTGCTCGTTCAATTCATTATATTAGATTCTCGAGAATCTCTCTCATAAGTCATGATATCACCCAAAACTTTCAAACTTATTGAGTCCAAAGCTACATGGTCCATTGTCATATAACCTCGACTTAGGATCTTTAAGTGTAGAAAACAACAATGGATTCTTAGTTTCTAATTTTGGTTTAAAATTTTAAATTTTATATAGTTAAATCTTGCAAAAGAAACAATTGTTAGATGTAGGAAATGCATATGGTTATCACCTTGCTTGTTGCAATTCGAGTAAACAATGATGGTGATAGGTTTGGAAATAAGAAAACTTTCCATACGTTTGATTGCTATTGTAACAAGTTCTTTATCTGAATTACTGAACTTTAGAAATAATTTCCTACAAAAACCACTGCAACAAAAGCTGGGGGGAAAATGCTTGGAGATTATATATATCTTTTTATACTGGTAGTAATTAACTAATCATTGATTTCTCGATTCCTCAAGTATTGGATCAGTATGTTTGATGATGGAGATTGTAATCTATTCTTCATTTTTTAATTAATGCTTTACACAGAGTATTTTATAAAGTAAAATTCACTAATAGTCCAACATAACATTTTACTTTCTTTTATATCATGTTATTTCAACTAGCTTGGGGTCATTAAATGATTAAAGGAATACCTTTTTGACTTTTTGAAATACATAAACATTGGATAAGAAGCTTGAGGTTGATTTTCAGACAAGAGAAGAGGAAAGAAGAGAGCAAAATGTCTAATTTAGGGCAGGATTCTCCTGACAGAGCAAGCATTGTCAATCTTCCAAGCCATTGCTTGATGGAAGAAATGGATCTCGAGGATTTCAGCGTTGGAATCTCTTCAAAACCTGATGATAAAGGTGCTTTTTTTCCGGCTTTCTTCCTAGGCTTTTGTATTAGTGAAATTGTTAGCTTTTATTTGGATTTTTTTGTGGTGTTGTTGGATAAGGTCAAAGCCCTTACCCCATTGCATATGGGAATAGGGTTTTGTGTTTGTTGTTGTTGTTGGATAAGGTCAAAGATTTTTCTGGTTTTTTTTTCTTCATGTGGGTGTTTTTAGAAAGAAAATTTCTCAGATTTGGAAAGAAGGATGATTTTATACATGTTCATGGGTTGGTTGGTTATGTTTGCAGGACAAGAAGCAAAAACATTGAACTTTTTGGACCACATGGCTAATTCATCAGAGAGTTCAAGACCAAATGTTAGGGCATCTATATCAGATGTGAAATCTTCAGATTTCTTACTAGGCAGCTTTGGTTCCAAGGAAGACAACATTGACAGTACAGATCTCAGGTGTGTACGTGTTTTATTTTCCATTCATATTATAATATTGATCTTGCTTTCATCTCACGTTTGCGTTTGGATTTGCCTATGCATATGCCTATGGTCACGGATCACTCAATTAATCAGTTGTTGTAGATGTGCCAATTGGTTGTTAAATACCAGAGTAATTTCTGTCGTGAAATATTTTATTCATTAAAAATATTATATTACAGAGAGTTACAATCAAGCCAGTCATTTGATTAATTATAACAATTGTGACATATGTCATTATCGACTGTCATCGGTCGTTGTATAGGATGGTCGATTTAAAGAAAGTTTTATATTGTTCTGCTCGTTCAATTCATTATATTAGATTCTCGAGAATCTCTCTCATAAGTCATGATATCACCCAAAACTTTCAAACTTATTGAGTCCAAAGCTACATGGTCCATTGTCATATAACCTCGACTTAGGATCTTTAAGTGTAGAAAACAACAATGGATTCTTAGTTTCTAATTTTGGTTTAAAATTTTAAATTTTATATAGTTAAATCTTGCAAAAGAAACAATTGTTAGATGTAGGAAATGCATATGGTTATCACCTTGCTTGTTGCAATTCGAGTAAACAATGATGGTGATAGGTTTGGAAATAAGAAAACTTTCCATACGTTTGATTGCTATTGTAACAAGTTCTTTATCTGAATTACTGAACTTTAGAAATAATTTCCTACAAAAACCACTGCAACAAAAGCTGGGGGGAAAATGCTTGGAGATTAGATATATCTTTTTATACTGGTAGTAATTAACTAATCATTGATTTCTCGATTCCTCAAGTATTGGATCTATTCTGACTACTCATGTTTATTATTATAATGCAGGATCCCTTTCAGCTATGAAATACAGCAGTCTGTTCCTAAGGCGAGTGGGTCAGGATTGAACGATCAACAACAAGAAGAATGTGCAGCCAAAGAGGTCCATTTAACAGATGATAAACATAAAGTGCCTGAGCTGCCAAAATTTCCATACTGCGCTTCACATATTGCATTGTACTTGCAAGAGAATTATGTGCTGACAGCTATTCCTCCCTTATTCTTTCAGCGCCTCCAAGTATTAGATTTGTCCCATACTAGCATCAAATCTTTGCCAAAATCTCTTCCCAAGTTGATTGCACTGAAAAAACTATTGCTAAAAGGTTGTGATCTCTTCATGGAACTATCACCTCAGGTTGGGGAACTCAAAAATCTTGAGGAACTTGATCTTGATGAAACACAGATCATGGATCTGCCCCGAGAGATTGGAAAACTATTCAAGTTAAAACAGTTGAAAGTTTCATTTTATCATTTATCTGGCGGAAAGAAGTCAAAATCAAACATTTTGATTCACTCTGAAACGATATCAAACCTCTCTCAACAACTTGCTGAGTTAAGCATTGATGTGAATCCGGGAGACCCGAGATGGGATGATTCTGTGGAAGCTGTTGTGAAGGAAGTATGCAACTCAAAAACATTGAGAGCTCTTAGCTTGTACCTGCCAGAATTCCAATTTCTAGATAGTACATCATTGATATATCCTTGCTTGTCACGCTTTAGATTTACTGTGGGCCGTCCTAAAAGGAGAATCATATCTCGTGTATCTGATGAAGTTGAAGCAGAATTCAGAAATTGGGACAAATGCTTGAAGTTTGTGAATGGTGAAAATATCCCGATTGCAATAAAAGGGGTACTGAAATATTCTATTTCATTTTTCTTGGACTGCCATGCAACTGCAATGAATCTTTCTGAATTTGGGATTGAGAATATGAAGGGGCTAAAATTTTGCTTGTTGGCAGAATGTAATAAAATGGAAACCCTTTTTGATGGAGAGATTCATTATGGAAGAAATGAAGACGACCAATCTGAATCTGAACCCGATTGTGTAGAACCTGTGCTTGACTCCCTAGAGTATTTGAGCATTTATTACATGGAGAACTTACAAATTATTTGGAGAGGACCAAATCGATTTGGATGTATGTCTAAGTTGAAATTCTTAGCACTGCATACATGCCCCCAGCTGAGTAAAATTTTTAGTCCTGCTTTGCTTGAAAATTTTGTCAACTTGGAGGAGATAATTCTTGAGGACTGCCCCCTAGTCACAAGCCTCGTAAGTCATACATCTACCAAGCCAATGATCTCAGATAAAATATTTCTCCCGAGTTTGAAAAGATTACTGCTTCTTTACCTCCCTGAACTTGTCAGCGTTTCTAATGGCTTACTAATAGCACCAAAATTAGAAATCATAGGATTTTACGATTGTCCAAAGCTTACAAGTCTATCAAAAATGGAATTGTCGAGCAAAACTTTGAAAATAATCAAAGGAGAATGTCAGTGGTGGGAAGATATGAATTGGAACGGAGTTGAGTGGGGAAGTCGGCCTGATTATCTGATGGGTATCTTTTCCCCTATTGATAATGAGAAAGATGTGATGACCCAATTTGTAGAAGATAGAGATCTACTTGGAGCAACCATACAAAATGAAGGCCAACAACAAGGTAATATAATTTTTTATCCATTCTATATTTAATTTATCGTCTAATATTAGCTTATATTTCAAATCGAATTAATGACTAACGAGTATGCAAGCTCTGCTACAAACTGTATAAGCAGTAAAAAAAAAATCCCCAGAGCAGATTATGCTCACACCCTTCATCTTTAAGACCAAGTTGTATAAATATATGCACTCCAAGCATATCAAATAATAAATGAGATCAAAGCCTTCCTTTTTCAGTCTTTGGGCTTTTCATCATTTATGTAAGCCATCATGATTGAATCATGTATTCTTGTGTGCTTTTGTAATTTTGGCTATTGTTTTTCCCTCTATCTGTACCTACATTTGAGGATAGAAGAACAATTTTTTTTCTCTTAACAACTAGACTGAAATGAAACAGAGTGTGGAAATCAGCCAGATTATCTGATACCTATGTTTTCCCCATCCGATAATGAGAAAGATGTGATGACCCCATTGGCAGAAGATAGAGGTCTACTTGAAACCACCATAGACAATGAAGACCAACAACGAGGTAATACTTATGTTGATTCCTTTATTTTCTTTTCATCATCCAAGTCTCGCTACAAATAAACAAACTGCAAAACAAAGAAAAGAAAAATCCCCCAGAGCTTATTAAGCTTTGGCAAACACTCTTCCATCTTGTTAGCCAAACTGTATGTATATAAGCAAGTCACATAGTACATAGATAAAAGCTTCGTTTCAATCTTTGGACCTTTACACCCTTGATGTTAGCAATCATTGTCAAATCACGTAATTTTTTGTGTTCTTGTGATTTTACTTTCTCTCCTTTTCTTTTCTTTTCTATCCATACATGATATTAAAGATATAAAATTTCTTTTCTTTTGACATCTATGATTGGAATTATACAGAGCGGAAATATCCATATTATCCTATGGATATCTGTTCTCCCATCAATAATGAGAAAGATATGATGACTCCGTTAGTAGAAGATAGTGATCTACTTGAAACCACAATAGAATATGAGGGCCAACAACCAGGTATTATAACTTCTTTATCCATTTTGCCCTTAATATATCTACTATTATTAGAACATTTGTGACATCAAACTAATGAGCAGGCAACCCCTACTACAAATAGTTAGGGTGTGCAAAATTACCCGACCCGGACCTAAAAAAACCGGGTAATTCTCTAAAAAAAATTACCCGGCCAGGTCGGGTACCCAGCCCGACATTTCCCGGGTTGGGCCTGGGTCACAAAATCTAGTTTTTCCGGGTACCCAGTTACCCGAGTACTCGGTTAGTTTTTATTTTTATTTTTTTACATATAATTATATAAAATATAATTAATTATTTATATTATGTATTATTAGATTTTGTATTTCAAACTTTTAAATTTTATGTTCAGATATTTGAGTATGTAATTTGAAGTTTCACAAATTTAATTTTGTTTATATTTTTTAAAATTAAATAAAAAAACCGGGTATCGGGTACCCGTAACATCCGGTCGGGCCGATAAATCGCCGACCCAGAAGTTACGGGTACCCGGATTTGCACAACCCTACAAATAGTACAAACTATATAAGCAGTGAAAAGAAAAACCTGTAGAGCAGATTAAGCTGTGGCAAACACCCTTTCATCTTACTGACCTAATTATATGCATATATGTACTGAAAAGTGGGAGGCTTATGAAATGACTCCATTGGTATATTGATAGTCTCTATTTGTAGAGGTAAAGATATATGCTTACATCCAAAGATCAAAATAGAAATTCACAAACTAATTCAAAAGACTAAGATGAAATGACTACATCGATTTATTGATACAAACTATATGGAAAATGATGGCCAATTAATATATTTTTTGAAGCTTGCATTTTAGTTCTATCATTTAATACCTTGTATCTTAGTTCTATCATAGTATAAAAATGAGTTCAAACCAATTAGGGAAGTACAACTAAAAAGTAGCTAAGGATTTGTTTGTTTCATGTAAAATGCTTTTTGAAAAATGTTTTTCATTTTCCAATGTTAAGTCGGAGGAAAATGGGTTGGTTAATGTAAAATATTAAACTTTTCACTTCAAAACATAAGTACTCAAAATAATATTATTTTATATATATTTAATATTAGTATAATGCTTTAGTATCATTTTAATGAAAATATGAATAATTAAAGTATTTAAAATATATTATTAATATTTTTAATAATAGGGTAAATTACGCATTTAATACCTAAACTATTAGTTTTGGTTTATTTTAGTACCTAATCTTTAATTTTTTCAAAATCATACCTAAAGTTTAGTTTTTGTTTTATTTTAGTATCCATTTAAAATTTAATGTTAAGTTTTGAAAAAAATTGAAAGTTTAGGTACTAAACCAGACCAAAACCGATAATTTAGTTACTAAACGCATTAAATTTTTAACAGCGGGGTACTAAAACGAAATAAAAACTTAACGTTAAGGAATGATTTTGAAAAAAATTTAAAGTTTACGTACTAAAACAGATCAAAACTGATAGTTGAGGAACTAAATGCGTAGATTACCCTTAATAGTATTATATTATTTTTTTATTTTAATAATAATATATTCAATTATATTATAATAATATATTCAATTATAGTACAAATATATAATATTATAATCCTTTTTCTTATAGAAGCAACTGATTTTATTCAAAATAAGAAATATCCCAAATTATAATAAAGATTTACCATCACAAACATAAATTATGCACATAATTAGGAAAATTTATTATAATAATTGAAACAAAACTAGTAACTAAAGATCACATAAGGACCATACAAGGAAAGATTAAATCTAACCAAGAAACTCTAATAAAGATAGATACAAATAGATCTGATTGCATTGACAAACGAACCACAAAAGGAGATCAAGCTATTGAAAGACCACCAACAAAAACGTAAATCAGACTCGAGCGACGTGAAAAGCTATCCACGAACGCAAGTTGGGTATCCAAATCCAATACGAGGGTCCAAAGTAGGGAAGATCAACAAAATATCATATAAGAGCCATCTTGATCAATCGTGGTGATGTTAAATCAACCCTTAGAAAAAGATAAATGAAAAAACAACCAAAGAACCGAAAAACATGCCAAAAACATAAGAAAACGTGCCATAACCAAAGAACCGAAAACATGCCAAAAAACATAAGAAATCGTGCCATAAAGACAGATGAAAACGTGTAATGCAAACACTTTTACTGAAAATAAAAAAATAAAAGAAAATAAAGATACGTTATAGAAAAGAAAAAGAAAATAAAGAATACCAGCAGTCAGCAACCAACATTAAAGTTGGTGACGGTGTCGATCAACAAAGATGAAAAAGAAAAGAGATGAGCGGTACACCAATGAGAGAAAACTAGGTTTTCTATATGATATTATAATCCTATTTTATTATTATATAATAAAATATTAATAAAATTTATACTATTTATTAGTTTTCTAAAAATAATATTATTGAATTATTAATAGTGAATAATATTATTTATGTATTTAATATTAATATAATAGTCTAATAATATTTTAATAACAATACTTAAAATATATTTTTTAATAATTTTTAAAAGATAATATAATATTCTTATTTTAATAAATAATTAATATAATTTATTTTTTTATAAGAATAGAGGCCTTGTTAAAAACTACCTTCATGATTAATGGAGCTCGTAAAAAGCTCTTTAATCAGCGGAAGGAGGAAAAGAGAGCCTTAAAATTTCATTAAAATCATGATTAGTACATAGGAAGTACAACATCCTTAAACTCCCTTAATGGGGAATAAAAACCTAAAAAAACATCCCTAAACAGCAACACATACATCAACCTATTCCAGCCTTAGCTAATGCATCTGCCTCTAGGTTAGCTGTCCTAGTAACCCATCTAACAACATCTTCAAATACTTTAAGTCTATGAACAATATCTTTAACAATAAAAGCATAAACATCTGGACATAATTCAACTTTCTTAATCCAGTCCACTGCCACCTTGTTATCGCTCTCAATTATCAAACGGTCCTTGATCCGCTCTCAAAAAGAGACAAAGAACAATAACCTCTTTTGAATAGCTTTTAATTCCATCAAGGTCGGAGGCCCTGGACCAACATACTCCTTGAAAGAGCCAAGATCAATCCTGAGAAATCTTTTAAAAATCCTCCTAACCCACTTTTCTTCCAATCACTTGTAGTAGCAACATCAACGTTTAATTTGACAAAGCCCTTGGGAGGAGGAGACCTAGGAAAAATAGATACAATCGGATTAGAATAGAGAGATAAAGGGTTCTCTAAGGAAGGATCAGATATAAAAGAATCCTTAGGAATAGAAGCCTATTTATGCTTTTCTAAGAACCAAGAAGCAAGCTTAAACCTTACTAAAAAGAAATATTCAGCCTGATCTAACTTCCCCCTTCAAACACAATAAAATTCCTAATTTTTCAAGTGGTCCAAAGAACAACCCCTGGAATAAATGACCATATAGATGAGTTAGTCTTCAAAGCATCCCAAGCTAGGAAAAAACTTTTAGCATTAGCATGAAAAACAGAATTGATCCTCCAAAAATTCATAAATTTGTTCCATAAGGACCACACAACTGAACAAGAGAAAAATAAATGAGATGAAGACTCATCCACCATCTTGCAAAGAGGACAAAACACATCTTCAATTCCATGAACTCCTCTTTTGACTAATTCTGTCTTAACAACCAACTTCTCAAGAACAACTTGCCAAAGAAATGACTCCACTCTTGGAGGCAACAAGCCCCTCCAAATTATCTTCTTCCAGAAATAGACCTCTTGCGATCCTAAAGAACCCGATGAACAGAGATTAACACAAGATCTTGGAGTAAACACCCCATCCCCAGTGCCTTTCCAAATCAACCCATCATAAATTTCAATATATAGAGTAAAATTCGAAATGACAGCCATGAAGTTAGACCACTGTTCAAATTCCCAATCATTCAAATTCCTTCTAAACTTAACATCCCAAATCCATCCCATAGAGCTATATTAACCAAATTCAAATAATTTTCCACTCTTATTTGAGGAAATAGAAAACAATCTATGGAAAATGACCAAATGAGGATAATTCATAGCCCAAATATCTTGCCAAAATCGAATAATTTTACCTTCACCAACTTGAAACTGCACATGCTTCTAAACTTAGAGCCAAAAAAGTCTTCTTTAAAATGATTATTTAGCACTGATCTCCAAATCCAAGAAACTTTAGGTGGAATCTTATTGTCAAACAGTAATAATGAAGAATCCAGTTTATATTTAGCACAAATAATTTCCCTCCAAATAGAATCCCTATCATTGGCAAACCTCAAAGACCATTTCCCTAAAAGCACTATATTCATCAAGTTGAGATTCAGAACTCATAAACCCCCTCATTCTTTGATTTGCATACATTAGACCAACTAACCCAGTGAATCTTGTTATTACAATTTCCCCCTCCCCATAGGCAATTGGACATAATTGAGTTGAGGGTTTTGAGAATCGAAGATGGAATCTTAATCAATATCAACCTCGCTGCTAATGAAAGAGAGGCTGCCATCCACCTGCTAGTTTGATGAAAAAATTATAAACCACTGGATCCCAAAGAACTGCAGAATTTCTACTAGCACCAAGAGGAAGCCCTAGGTATTCTGAAGAAAATCTGCCAATTGAACATCTAATAGTCTTTGCCCACTCCTGAAGTTCCTCTTCATTCAAATTAACACCAAACAATTTACTCTTCTTCAGATTCAGATGTAAACCAAAAATCACTTGAAACACTCGAAGTACCCTATTCACATTCAAAATCTACATTTTCGAAGCACCACAAAAGATGATAAGATCATCAACAAACTGTAAATGAGATAAATTAAAAGACCCTTGTTCCCTGCCAATAACCAATCTAGAAAATAACCCCTGTGAAACAGCTTTAAGGATCAATAAATTGAGAAGTTCCCTACTAAATTAAACAACAATGGAGATAAATAATAACTCTGTCTAAGACCCTTTGCCATTGAGAAATCCTCAGAAGGAACTCCGTTA